CACGTGATCTACGCGGTGGTTCTTACGAGAATGATCTTTGGCATTTCTCGGATAATAAAGCTTAAACGACAGGTCGCGGGTTAATGATCGCAATAGGTCGAGAAATAGGGTAAGATGGAGGATCGACAATAAACCACGGGCGATCGTCGTTGTTGCGTACGTTACAGGTGTCACGCGCGTTGGGATCATCGCTTATCACTTTAGCCTCTGGACACGAAGAGAAATGTCAAGCGACGTTCCGATCTCGGCGGGACAAGGGGGGGAGCTGAGAAGAGAAGGAGGGAAAAGAAGTTTCTTGCGATGCGTCGCATTCCATCTTGGAATTGGCTGACCAATTGTCGGGCCGCAGCTGTCTTAAACGGTTTTAATTGCCTCGGAATATAAAGCCGTCGTCGTCGTTGTCGTCGTTGTCGTCGCGCGCGCGCTAAAGACAAGTGGCGTCTTGAGCTCAATTGACAGCGTCCCACTTGAGACGCGTCGGGGCGATGATATCTGCGTTATCGGCACTCCCGATTGAGCCGGGCCCAGGAATCAATTGCACGTCGCGATAAATCGCTCATGTTTCCCCGGTTCCCACGGAGATTTCATCGGAACGCGGTTCGATGCGTTCGATAAAGTCTCGCGGATGTTTCCGTCAGCGTACAACAACGCGTCTCGCTATCATTCGGTTACGGTTCCTTTGGTCCTATTTATAGCGCGAGTCCTGAATTATTCTGCAAAATCAAGTCTTGACGTAAATCGATTCGCTGGAAACAGTTCTGGAATACGGTCTTCGGTCCCTCGACGTTGCATTCCCGAAACGTTTCGCAGAGTTTATTCCGGGGAGTTAGATTAGCGCCCAATGTCGTGCGTGCTTTGGTATTTTTTTTATTACTTGCGACATAATCACTTTCTCTGTATATTAATGTATGTAAAATTAACGTCTCTTTTAATATCCAATTTTGCTAACGTTGCACTCGAAAAAGTTGCAATTATTATTATTATTATTATTATTAATTATCAGTAGCGTTGGATTTCTGTTTAACGAAGACGCCTGTGTCGCGCTGCTATCCCTTTCACTTTGTATCGCAAATCGAACGTTGTTCTCGGCCGCGCGATGTTTACGTAGGTGGCCAAGACTCATCCAGGGCCGCGGGCTGCTCCACACTTGCGTGCAGTTCCGTGTATAATTTCATCGCGCGGCGTGGATAACGTCACGTGCGCCGCCGAACGGCGGCGGTGTGACGACGGTGAGCTTTGTGCAGATGTGCTTCTCGCCGATAGAAAACACCCGGCGGCGGGTTCCTTAATAGGCGATCGCGGCTTACAGGACGGTTAGTAGGTCGCACTACTTATCGAATGCGAAAGGGTCAACGTATTCGAGCTGGATGATGTGTCTCGTAGTTAAATCCCCCCTCTTCAGTCACTCTGTCGCGTCGGTCCTCCCTCCTCTCCGCCATGGGCTCACACGTCCTGTTTTATCACGGACCCTCTTGTCCCTCTATCGCTGCCAGCCGTCGAGATATCGGTCCTTCTTCGTAGGGACAGTTACTCGGACGTGAAAAGCGAGCAGTGGCAAAAAAAAAAAACAGAAACAGTTTGTCAGTTTAATAGGGGAAAGTTGCTAACCGACCGCATAAATCGTATCACAATTTATTCAATATTTTATATTATTATTTAATACAATCAACTGTTAATAATAAAAATGTGAAATATAATAAAAAATATGGAATATTTTTGTCGTTAAATGTCGATTGTATTAAATAATAATATAAAATATTGATGAGGTACGATTTACGTGATCGGCACGCATTCAGCAATCTCTCCCAACTGGTTTTGTAAATTTTTTTTTCCTGTGCCGGAGTTCAATTTGTGAATTGCGTAAATTCTTCACATCTTTCACGAAATTTAATATTGCGAACGAAATATTATCGTTATCTCGAAACTTTTACACGGTGATCATTACGTTACGCGATTAACTCTTGAACTATCAGTAAAACTGGGACATCCCGCTGACACTTCGAAAAAAACCTCACAGATGCGCTCTACGCGGTTAAACGATTCTTCTTGGCACGCCTAATGACGTCATGCGACTGCATTAAACTAGGACAGGGTTTAACGCTGCAAGTTCTGCAGCGTATTCGGTCGCGATAAAACCGCCAGGTTTGCGATTAACGTCGAGATCCGCCAGTATCTCGCTAGATATTTCGGTGAGAGCTCGATTCACGCTCGAGCTTTCTTAAGAGTGGGAATTCCGCATCGTCGCGAAAGTTGTCGTACGTTCGGAACTTTCTTCTCGCGGCACTATTTTCATTCATAAAAGTAGCACCGGCGATTTCATTTTCTAGCACAGAAACCACGTTCGCGGGGTATAAATGCCCGTTCATTGATGTCGATGCTGCGACGATCAATATTGTACACCAGGCCGCCGTATTGAATGTAATTTACACGGTCCAGTTGCCTCGCATGCGACCAATCGGGAGTCACATGCGCATTTAGACGCGCATTTATCTTCGATCGCGGGGACGCTTGGGTTTTTAAATAAAGTCAAATTATTTTATCCGCAGTCGCCCTTTCTTCGCGCGCGCGGGTGCGCGCGATACTCCCACGCGATGACACGTTTAAAAAAAGAGGGGAGAAAAAAGAGCGTCCCGTTGGATATTGCATTAGGTCCTAATATAGAAACGAGGACGTGTCCGTCTTCCCTCGGCATCTAGAAATTAGCGGGCAGCCAGCAACGCGCCACGCGGCCTGCTGCTACTCCAGGTTACTTTCTGACGTCACTGCCAACCTCTTGACGTCATTCTGCACCTGTATCTGGCCTCTCTCTTTCTCTCTTCTCGTCGCAACTCGGGAGAGATGTGCCGTGTCTCCACCACTTAGGATTTGACGATTCAAACGTGTATCGCGTTTGCCATCTATATACTTCGCTACTTCGACGAAACAATGAGAGAGACGAATATTACTAATAAAAAAAACGTGCTCAAAAAAGCGAACTCGAGTCGCAGCTCAGGCGAGCCTTGATCGATCGATCGATGCACTTGCGTCACGGGCGTATTTTAAGACGTCGATGATTCCGTGCCAATGTGAGACATTAGCTTTCTATATGAACTTAACGTGAGTTTTAAACTAACTGTATATACGATAACTTGGAAGATTTAATTTCGGAGAAAGATGTGAGCGGCGAGGTCTCTCCGTTATTAATTTACTTCCGTTAAGACGAATACGTACTTTGATCGGACCGAATCGGGAGTCCGGAGGCGAGAGCAAACTCAATCGAGCGACCACGGGCAAGTCGGGCGACCGTAAATCAGATCGTAGCTCGCTGATCGGGTCAGGTAGAAAATTAGTGCACAAAGGTTCGGACAATCCGTCGGGCTTACCGAGCATTGAGGATGATAAATCATAAGGCGATTAAGCCAAAGTAAACCAGAGACATTGGACGCGGCAGGTGGTGCAACGTTCAGGTGAAGACCTGCCGGCCCGTCGACCAACTGTCGCTCGCTCGCTCGCTTGCTCGCGCGCGTGGTTACTGGCTAACTTCTCCCCTTTTACCCTCGGTGCCCCAAAGAGTTTCGTTTGCCAAAGACACGGCGACGTGGTATTCGGTGTTGGGGTACTTGGCAGCCCCGCGGTTGTGCATACACATCGGTCGGGCCGAGACGCGAGGGGGAGGAGAGATTGGAGAGAGAGAGAGAGAGCGAGAGCGAGAGAGCGTTGCATTGGACGTTGACCCGCGGCGGCTCAACTGTTGCTCCCATTCGCGCATCCGGGAGTCCGCCGAAGGGAGACGACCTAGGGAAGATTTGATAATGGACGAGTTCTCTTCCGTCGGGCTCTCGAGTGTGTTTGTCGCGCGAACCTTGGTCCGGAGAACGGCTACCGATAAAATTCGTGGCGCACGCAATTGAGAGACATTCCGTGTCTCGCGCTCAGTATACTTGTGCCTTTGTCGGGAATGTCAAGAGCGAATTCCAATTCTCTCAAGCGGATAAAATCTTGGTCCGAGTGCGCGCAGATTTAAAAAAGGATAGTGAGTGGCTGTTAATGTTTAGTCTGAATTGTAATGTAAAGAATGTGTCGAGCGTCCTTTATAGAAATTTAATACTGGAAGGGATTTATCAAATAATTGCTTATTTTAAGTATTAAAAGCACTGCTATGCTCCAGTATTAAATTTCTGTAAGTGGTACTGAATTTGATACACTCTTGTATACTTTGAAACGTGTACAATTCTGTTTGAATGAAATTACATGAATAATTTTTTTAAATTGTTGAAAAAAAAATATATATATATTTCGTATATTGAATTGTTATGAAGACATTTTGTAAGAAAATCAAGTGATGTATTTTATATCTCTTCTCGTCGTGAAAATAATCCTTTCGTCATTCAGAGATTCGCGAGTTTGTCGCTGGCCTGACGCTTGGCACGCTGCCATCTGTCAGCCACGATACAACGAGCTATTTTGAATGGTAGTATCGATTTGGACCAGCCGCCTCACCTCTCACGGTGATTGACCAATTGTCGATTCAAGGCTAATCTGCATTTCTGATCTGAGCTTCCGACTGTTATCGCATGCCCTGATCGATGGCATACGTCATATCAATCATCGCTGCCAATATCAACATCGGTTATCTCCTTAGAACTGACGGGGCCATTCGTTATCTTCCATCTCCTTTAATTTTTTCGTCATTAGGCGGCGCGTAATCAAATAGAGGTCATTCAGTGGGGGGTTCGGTTACGACAACAACAATACGACGTCTTCCGTATTGCTTCGCCACGCGCGCGTCGCAGCGATTGCGCCGGCAGCTTTTTCTTTCGATCACTGGGTCGCTGGCTGCTGCGGCTGGCAGCGGGGCAAACGGCAGCGGCTCGTGCAGCAACCTGTCACCCGCGTCGGCAGCGACGACGGCGTCCTCTCGACGCCGGGTCGGACGGTCGGTACGGCGCCAGCGTCGTCTCTCCCACTTCCCGGCGACTCGTCCTCCCGGCCGGCCTTCTCTCGAAACCACGTCCTTCCTTGGGTGTGGTTCGAGAACGTCGGGAACGTCTCTTCTCGTCGACGAGTCGCGGAAATCGCGCGTGTTTCACGCCGCTGAACCTCGGCGCTTTTCCCTCGTTCCCGAGACGGCGGTCCGCGCGAACGACGCTCGTGTCCTTCCGTGATTCACGCGCTCCGTCGCTGGAACCAAGCCAACCAAGAGGGACGATCGCAGTAGTGCAGTGAGAGAGCGGGCGAGTCGAACGAAGTGCAAAGGGTGTACGGGATACAGGAGAGAGAGAGAGAAAGATTGACGGCGAGCGGCAAGTGGGGCGAGAGCCACAGTGGACGACGTTCATCGATTTCGCGTCGCGCTTTCACGGTTGCGTGCGAAACGCGACGGAAAAAGCGAAGTCGCCCTTCTCGCTGACGTACGCTGCGTGCGTACGTGTTTCTCCGCATTGCCCCGTTAAAAAAAAAAATCCACGGAGTTCCGCGTACGGGGGAAAGGAACTGGAAGTGAAACCGCGCGCGCTAGGCAAAGTTGTCCGCGAGGTCGGAGAGGAGTTTTCCCTCGCGCGATTCGCGTGTCGACGGGCGCAACCTGGCGGTGACGAGTGACAAGGCTTCTGACGGGGTTGCACGTCGTCTGCTTCGACCTGGTGGCGGTGGTGGTGGAGGCGACAGCGGCAGTGGCGGTGGTGGTGGCAGTGGCTCTTCCACGAGAGGTTATGTCGCTGCGGCCTCGATGACGCTCCTCTGACAGCAGTGGCGGTGACGGTGGGACGGAGCGAGTGGGTTCCATCGATGCGTATAAACCACCCTTTCCACCTCGACGCCCTCGTAGGCGAGGACGTCGTCTCTCTCTCTTTTTTCTCTCTTTTTTTTTCCGCTCTCTATACCTACCCTCGCCGATCGAAGCCGCGCCGCGACGGATTCTTGCCGCTCGCTATATTAGTTAGCGCCCGGGACAATGGCGCGCGTCGTCATGGGAAAAGCGGAAGAACCGATATACGTGACGTTCGTTCCACCCTGTTGTCAATAACGGCCCTTTCTCATTATCGATAACGCCCGCGAAAGCTCTCCCCCTCGAGGCTTCCGCCGACCTTCGTATTTTGGCCCCGGGGCCTCCGCCACTGCGCGAGAGAGCGACCGTCGATTTATTAAGCGATAACGTTTCTCACGCAGGTTGCAATGCCGTTATAATGCCGTTATGGGACTGCGCTTTATCTAACTGCTGCCGTCTAATGTTGTCCTGTTTCTATTTCTTCGATTCCGAACGAGTATCTGCAAGCGAAAATGAATAAAAAATCGCTTAAACTATAGCCCCGCGGATAATTACTTTATTTGCGAGGCTGCGTGAAAATATCCGGTGGCAGTTTTCGGTTTTAATCAATTGACTTTTTCTTTCTTTCGATTTGTACATCGGTTTATTGAGAGCCAGAGTACGTAACTTCTGCGCTATTATTATCCCCTTTCTTTTATTGATGGGCGCTAATGCCATAATGCCTACGTGTCCCTGTGACAGTCTTTTTCAATCTGAATCCAATGAAAAATTTAAATTTCTCCCGACTCGCGAGCATCTAATTTGTCTCATCTGTAAGAATAAATGCTCATATAAAAACTTGTGAAATATAGTGCGTAAGTATTTTTTGTGATTATGTTCTTTCTCGAGCTGCTTGTGCCAGATCTTTTGGGTTTTCTTGCGGATGATGTAAGAAAACTCTCAGAGATGATCCATTTGGGTAGTATAGTCGACGTAAGATTTTCAGCGAGCATTGAAATTAGCACGGTCAGGCTAATTACTAATTAGCGTTATACTTTCGGAAAAGTGCTTGTTTTCCGGTCTCGTTCGCGCGTGCGCCGAAAGCTTCGCTCTCTCGTCGCCGACTCCATTCGGAAAATCAGAACACCTCGCGTTGGACCGACAACCCTCGGTTTCCCCGGGTCGCAAGATCCCGCGGAGGTGAAGGACGCGCCGCGCGATCTCCGTGCCCGTGATTGTTCGGAGCGCGATCGGTTACATTAAGTTTGCGAATGGCACGGGGTAGGGTGGGAACTCCTACAATCGGAATTACGTAGTATTTGAGGGATGTTCGCACTGTTCTCTCGACGGTAAAAATTTTCAGGATTCGCGGCGTCGATAAAACCCGACAGAACTTATTCATATGTGTACTTAAAAAAGAAATTGCTTGGGAGGGTAAAAGTAATCGATTTTGTAATTTTATCGTGTAAAGGGAATGCTCTGCATATTTTTAATGTAACACAGCCTTAGCCCGTAAGTATAAAAGCACTCTCTCAAATTGACGTTAACGTTCGACATCTAATGAAAAATAAATTAAAAATCGATTTGTTGAAAAATTCAATGTTTATTTTTATAACAATTTTAATTTTTAATTTCGTTGATCTTTCTTTGGCTCTTATTACTGCCTTTTCCAAGAAAGTGTTATAAATTGAGGATGCTTTGTACTTAAGGTCAAGGCTGTATTTTTTAAACATTTTAATATATTAAGGTGTGATATTTATTCCTCTCTTTGCTTGCAAAATCGTGATTCTTGTTTGTAAATACTTTTTAATAGGATTTATTTTAATCGGAGAAAACAATCAATATTCTACATGTCGTTCTGAACAAAATTATAATATGTTCATTTGGAATGTTAATTGAAACTATTACAATGTGACAGAAAAAAAAACCGTTTGATGGAATTTTAAATATAGAAATTTCATTAAATAATGAAAAATATTGGTCCAAAGAATTATTCTCTAAGTATCAGTTTTATAAAAATATTTTCCACGTTAATGAAAATGTGTGACATTTATTTCTTCATCAAAAACTGGGTGGCGAAAATCGTGTAACTTATCTAGAATGGATGTAGCGAATACACACGTGTCAGTACTTTTCAGTCAATTATCGGTTTTCCGAGTTTATCGATATTACGTTGCGGTAACTAGTCGCACCGGCGTCGACCGATCGCTCGTCGTTTGTGACGGTGATACACGTCGTGACGTTTTTCTCGAGGAAAAGTACGCGCTGACGGGAACTCGAATCGCGGACGACGAGAACTCGAGGAAGAGAGAGAGAGAGAGCGAGAGAGAGAGAAGAGATCGCGATAAAAATATCTGTGTGCGCCATACAACCGAAATATTTTTAGTAAGCCGATAATTATATTTTCTTTTATCTTTATGCTTTCGACACGCGTGTATATGCGTGATAAGAGAAGCGCTCCTCCCATTGTTTTCTCTCTGATTATTTTAATTAATCATCGCTAAAGCTGGATTCGAGCGAAGAGCGCGAGCAAGCGAATGAACGAACTTGCTTCGGCAAATGTGGACGAATACATTTCTTTTTCATATATATTATAGAAAAAAGTTATGTTTTGTTATTTTTATCGTAAATGTTCGCTCATGTTTGTTTGTCTTGTAGCTTGATTTGTATCCATTTTATCGATCCGTATGATAGTATCGGTACATTGATGAATAATTTCCTTCAATGATAGATATACCAATTTATCAATTAGTGGACGCTTTTCGTTTAGTGACACAAGTCGGCACAAGTGTCGTTCTGTCTTCGTCACTGAATGTCAAGAAGGACAAAACGACGTTTGCATCGTTTTATCGCTTGTGTCACTAAGCGGAAAGTATCCACTACAATTCTTTTTCTCTTCTTACGCGATGTTCGAAGTTTTAGAATTAGATAAATGAGTGCGGCAGTCGTTAATGCTGCAGAGCTTCTAATTTATTTATGTTTCTCTCGTAGTAAGACCTAGTATCCTCTTAAATACGCGGGCGATACGAGTCATTACGCGTGTCTGGAAATAACTATTTATTTTCACTGGTGTGTTACGTTTTGGAAGCGGCTCGCGTGCCAATTAGCGAACCGGACGGGCCAAGCTACGATACAGCAAGCGTACTTAAGTTAGACGTTCCAATTCATCACTCCATCGGAGTATAAATATTTAAAAATGCGATGTTTTACCGCTTGATTCTCCTTAGACTTTCCTCAATATATATAGTTTGTCACGACACGCGTGCACAAGACCGAGTATGTGTGCCGCGTGCAAAGTCAACGCGATTATCTATTACAGCCATTAAGGAACCGCAGTAATTCTCGGAAGACGTTTGCAGAAGACGGCTTAGGCATGCATGCCGTCTGTTCGTTTTACTCGAACCGCATCAAAATTGCGCATCGGCCGCGTAGAAATATAAACGTTCCGTTTATTATATTCGCGGTATCACACACGACAGATGGAATGATCGCTAATTTAACGCTTATATGCCTCCTTTCGTAACGAAGAATAATTCCTAGCATCGCGGTAAAGCAACAGTAACATTCGCATTCCATTTTGTGTGATTTGATAACGTTATCAAAAGAATTTTTTTTGTTGCGAATCAAAGATACGATATTGTTTATTTATTTAAGAAAATACAGCTCACAACAGATTACAACAATAATTTATAATGAACTACAACGAATCGAAAACGCGCAAACGCAAAACACAGCCCACAAGGTTTTAGGTGAAATCTTAACAATTTTCCCTGAATAATGTATTATAAACAGAAATACTTTGTTTACTTTTTGCTCTGTTTATTAATCAGTTATGATTGATCGACTTGATACCTTGTGTTTTAGGGGTGGCAACGGTCTCGTCGGGAAGTGTCGAAGTTGGCGCGAGGGGCGGAGAGGTCAGCTGTGGTCTGGCTCTGGTTCCGGTGGTAGCGGCGGAAGCGGAAGCCGCTACAGTAGCGAAGGCAGGGGGCGAGGAGGTGGGGCCGGGTGAGGCTGGTGGTAGTCCGGACTTCGTTGGTAGAAGACGCAAATTTTATCCTTATCCCCCGTTTCGTTTATCTCTCGTTCCTTTACCTCTCACCTTGCCTTACGAGAGCGGTAAGTTCCGGGGCATTCGCCGCCGGCCACCGGAAACGCTATCGACGGCGTGACATCGGCCCCGCGATCAGCCTTACTCCCGCCGAGTGAGAGGAGAGCAGGCAGGCCGTAGACAGGAGTCACCGTCATCCGTCATCATCGTAGAAATTGCCCTGTTCTGAGCCCTCTCCGACGAGAGGAGGGAGAGCTCTGTCAGCCTCCTCTCGCACGCGCGACGTCCCCAGTATCTCGGACCCGTTAACGGGTGCTCGGCAAGGCACGCGCGTCATCTGCCAGACATCATGAACGAGCTCGACAGCCTTCGTCAAGAAGCGGAGACGCTGAAGAATGCCATTCGCGTGAGTATTCCACTCCCTTCCTTCGAGAGGTCATTGTTTCTTTCCTTTCTTTAACTCGTTAAAAAATGTGTGTACATTTTAAAATGTTACGTATAACTCATTCCGATTTCACGTAAAATATTTTTAATTGAAGTTCCGAAGAAAACACCATGAAAATTATTTATATACTATACTTTGCTGCTATCTATAAATTACATTTCTCTAAATGAACATTAATTTAATTACATCTGTGACACTAATCCATTAGCGAGTAATGTAATACGTTAACCCTGTAATAAAATCAAATAAAATAAAGGCCTCTTAAGAGATAGATGTAATTGGATCCGTTCCAACAAATTTGATCGAATCGACCGTACTCGTCTCTTACACCAGATTTTGCAATTTTACGTAACTCTCTTTCCGGCTTTCTTTTGCCCCCGGACGTTGAAGCGAGTATCGTAAATTCTAACGACAGTGATATTCTTCTATGGCGAATGACTTTCCATATAGTGGTGAGAATATGGAGCCGGCTAGCGGTGGTGGTAGTGTGGTGGTGGTAGGGCGCGGCATAACCGTCGCTTCTCTGATCAATACGCCACCATCCCTCTCTCTCCCTCACTCCATATCTTGTTTCTTCTCTCGATGTATTCGTCTCTCTTTCTTCACCGCTCCCCTTCCCACCCTCGCTCTCCCCCTTTATACACGTATAAAATGCACGCGCTCGCACGGTATGCGCGGAAATATGCGCTTACGATGAAAGGAAATAACTCTATCGACCTTGTTTGCTAATTGTTCATGACGCGTGTGACTTTTTTTGGATCATGGTTTATTCAAGTAAAATCCCCAATGTACGTAATGGATACGTGTGAATGCGAAAATATTTTTTTATGTATGACGATTTTTTTTTTAATTATCGATTGATTTAATAAATAATATTTTTTATATCTTTTTTCGCGTCAGTATTTCGCACAATTAATTTACGTGAAATTATTTCGTCGTGAAATAAATATTATCAATATGCAATAAGTTTTGGTTTATTATAAAACAATTTATTATACAATTTATTATAACAATTTATTATAAAACGATTTACGAAGGAACAAATTGCGGAATAGTACGATCTTATTTTAGAAATCATTTAATGGTCTTGTATATAAATCTTTAGTGTATCTTTAGTATATCTTTAGTATACTAAAGGCAGAGTTATATCCAATATACTTCAGTATTAAGTCACTTTAAGTACTGCCGTATTATAATCCGATTTTAAAGGTCAGCTCGACGGTAGTATTGCGGTATAATACTGGACTAAAGACACGCGAGCACCATTGACAATTCACCGGGAATTTTCTTTTCTCCGTCCCGTAACTTCCTTTTTCTAATTCCTTTGAAATTCATAGAAATTTTCAGTATTTTAGCGATTCGGTTCGGTTGGTGATCGTCGTTTGACCTTTTGCGCTAAAACTCGTGTATACACGGGCATGACATTAAACGAAGTTTTCACGTGGAATTTATTAAATTTTCGCGACGATGTGTACTCGCGCTACCGGTGCACTCCAATTAAGATGCTGCTTCAACGTGAAATCTTGAAACTTTAATTATCATTGAATCGTAACATCGGCGGTGTGTTTGTGTGTGTATGTGTATGCAGATGAGAGATTTCCTTGTCGTACTTTACGCAACTGAATCCTTGTGTCCACGAACAGCTAAAAATCGATCCGAAATCTCGGAGTAAGAATTAACAAGTCACATTTGAACAATTCGATTAATTGACCAATGCGATTAATTCCTTCTCCGTCCGAGATCTCCGGAGAGATTTCTCAGTACCGTGGACACAAGGCTTAGCGAATAATTGCATGCAATATACGACAATCTCTTTCTTATCACGTTATCGTGAATCTTATCGCGCGTATGTTAGGGATCAAGTGCGAGAAACCCGATCCCGATGCAAATTTACAAATTTGCCTGTGATCTTATGCCGCAGGATGCCAGGAAAGCAGCATGCGACACGTCCTTGGCCCAGGCCACATCGGGCATGGAACCTATCGGTCGCATACAAATGCGAACGAGACGCACGCTTCGCGGTCACTTAGCTAAAATTTATGCGATGCACTGGGGAAGTGACTCGAGGTATGATTACGTTAGAATGCAAACACGATGATTTGATGACGATTAGCATATGAAACTGTTGGTCATTTTAACATAAATTAACTCTTAATAACAGTAGTAAATTTTCAAATTGAGGATTATAAGGAAAGTAGAAAAGAATTTAGAAATACAAATAGATCTTTATTTTGTTAAGATATTTTAAAATGTGATGCAAAATTATTAAAATAGAGGAAGTTCCTTTTCGCAATTGAGTCCTTTTCATCAGCGTATACATATATTTTGTTTTTCGTTTATAGGAATCTAGTCTCCGCATCGCAAGATGGCAAATTGATCGTTTGGGATAGTTATACCACCAATAAGGTTCACGCAATCCCATTACGGTCATCATGGGTGATGACTTGTGCGTACGCGCCCTCAGGTAGTTACGTGGCATGCGGCGGGCTGGACAATATTTGTTCCATCTATAGTCTTAAAACTAGGGAAGGGAATGTTCGGGTGAGCAGAGAACTTCCGGGTCACACTGGGTACTTGTCCTGCTGTCGATTCTACGATGACAACCAAATTGTCACCAGCTCCGGCGACATGTCTTGGTAAGTGTTACTTAGAGAGATTTACGATCAGGCGACTAGAAATTGCTATAACAGAAAAATCCTGTATCCTTTATTCTATTCTAAAACATTTTTGCAAGACGGAATAAAATAAATGCATACGTATAAAATATAGTATGAAAATAAAGTGAAAATTAATATAAATATAAAATATATGAGAATTTTAATTCATAAAATAAAGTTAAAATTGCATACTTCTTTTTATTCATCTCTTATATTTTTTAATTCGGAAGAATTAAAATATGAATATATTTACTCAGTCGTACTTCGGAGCAGTATATGAAATACGATTTATGAAATGCAATTCACTGCTTTTAGCACACCGAGAGCTCACAATAAAAGTAAAGAGAGAAAGCGATAAAAAATTTCATTTCTTCTTTCTTTTCCTATTCCCAAATCCCTTCCATCACTGATCCCGATGAAGACTCCTGAAGATTATGGCGCGAACTAGAACGCTGAATTGTTCTGATTCAGTGCTTTGTGGGACATTGAAACCGGTCAGCAGTGCACCTCGTTCATCGGGCATACTGGCGACGTGATGTCTCTGTCGTTGGCACCGGATACGCGCACCTTCGTGTCCGGTGCGTGCGACGCCAGCGCGAAGTTATGGGACATCCGTGAAGGCTCCTGTAAGCAGACCTTCCCGGGTCACGAGAGTGACATAAACGCCGTCACGGTGAGACATTATTTTAAGAAATGGCTTAACAGTAGCACTAATGGATTTTCGAGAAAAACAGGACTTTCATTAAGGATTAACTTGACGATTCATGCTGTTTACAGTTCTTCCCGAATGGATACGCTTTCGCGACGGGCTCGGACGACGCGACCTGCAGACTTTTCGACATTAGGGCGGACCAGGAACTCGCAATGTACAGTCACGACAATATCATTTGCGGTATCACCAGCGTAGCTTTCAGCAAGAGCGGTAGATTATTGCTGGCGGGCTACGACGATTTCAACTGTAACGTTTGGGATTCTATGAAGACGGAGCGAGCTGGTAGGTTGACGGCACCTCACGAGCGATAGTGTATCACCTCGAGAGAGAAGAGAGAGAGATTTTATTCGAGGCCCTTCTCTCGATAATCATTTTCCTTCGCTGTTTCGAATGAGTTTTAATTATTGGGATAAAAGACGAAGATTTGTTGTTGCTATTTTATTTAAAAAATATTCGCCATAATTCTGTTTTCTAGGAATTCTCGCTGGGCATGATAATCGTGTGTCTTGTCTCGGCGTTACGGAAGACGGCATGGCGGTGGCGACGGGCTCCTGGGATTCGTTCCTACGCATTTGGAACTAACTTGGGGCTCACCCCAGGCAGTTCCTTCAAAGAACCAACTACAGTCAACCAATTTACAGCATAAGAATCAAGTACCACCATCTAACTACCGAGCAAGTCGGCGTGCCAGCGACATTGGCAAACAATTCGCCAGGTTCACCGGAGTTGACGTTGATCAGAAACTTTGAACCGGGATACCGGATTAGCAGCAGTAGCAGCAGCAGCAACAGCAGCAACGGCAGTAGCAGCAGCAACAATAATAATTACAGTCGTATGAAGACCCACGATAACAACAGCAACGGCGGCGATTTCAAGAACGTTTTGGGTTGTGGTGATAAAATGGATTCCCACGGCAAGCGCAACGTAGTTGACTTGACCTGGCGACGCGGTAAAGTCGGCGACAAGAGCCAGGAATATCAACGCTTCTAGGAAGAACTGGCTCGAGTTGGGGTCGAATACGAAGATACATCGCGACGAAAGAGCGGCAAGAAGGACCGAGAGTATAAGAATTGGAGAACGAGTGCCAACAACAAGGCCGACAGTTAAGAACTTCCTGCGGCGTTGGACGCGCAAGACTTTCTTTTTATCCTTCCCTTTCTCAAGGACTTTCTTCGCGAACCTATACGAGAGGCACGTGCTGTTCCACGACTTGATAGTTCTTTTCCCACGGGGGTACTCCCGGTCGAGGATTTCCGAAGTTCGAAGGACGGACGGACGACAATCTCGCGCCGACGATCGTCAAGAGATTTTCCATCTCGAACCAAGGTTCACGCGTTCACTGCCGAGAAAATGCTGTTAACGGTTGCTCCGGCGGTTTAGCTATGGATTACTTTCCCATGCGCAAAACGAGATATTTATCGGGCACGATACGATACGAAAATCGTAATATTGCGTCGCGACTCTCGGAGATGAGAGACAAGGCACAGCCAAGCTCATAATATTCCCGTGATGATGCGCGCTCGAGTTTATACGGCGCACATTGAACGCACATGTGTATCGATGGGGGATTCACGACGCGAATTGCATACACCTGTACACGCGAAAACGGAGGAAACGGTGCGGATCGTCCAACAGCCTCGAGACACATCCAAATCGCACATACTCGTCACGCGAGCTTTGCCCTCGTGCACGAGCACCAAGTCGAGCGGAAAAAAAGAGAGATATATATTATATATATATATACATACATGAAATAAGACGAGATCACTTTTCTTACCATGATAAAATACGCCGACTTCGCACCACTACAACTAATTACTATTATTACTATTACTAGCACCACGACCCTCTCGATTGATTTCGTAGATGTATCGTTATTTATTTTGTATAGAGACCTTTGCCATAGGCCGCCCCGCGTCTGCGTTTTTTGCGAGTGCGAGAGCGACTGAGTATGTTGTAAAAGAGATCGAACGAGAGAGAGAGAGAGAGAAAGCTGTGAGAGCGTGAAAATGAGAGCGAGAGACGCGCGGCCAATTGTCAATCAAAAAAGAAAAAAAAAGAAAACAAAAAACGAGACACGTGACGCGCAGATAAACGAAACGAATGGCTGAACATGGAACATAGTCGCTCCTTTGATAAATGATTTGGTTCATCGAGATGTTGACGTTCACGGAGGAATTACGAAAGGAGCGACGTACTAGAGTTCGAAAGAGAAAGAGCAGATCGAGTTTCGTCTGCTTTTGCATTGTGACTGCGTTACAACCGCATGAGATGACGGGCCAGCGTGAAGTGTCGAAGTACGTTTAACATAATGTGTAATCGTTTAGTTCATAGTGTCCATACCTTTAAACCTTCTCTCCCCGCCCTTTGTCCAATTGTCTCTGATTACGGCAACGGCGAGAAGGAGACGAAGAATTGATCCCCGACTGTCGTCTCGGCGGTATCTCTTCCCCACTGTCGATTGAACGCCAATCAATCCTCGTGCATGAGGCGGGCACGTGCTCTCGATCGAAAGAGTCGTGCTAAAAAAGTACCTTTGAAATAGGACCCAAAGAATCCCAGGTTAATAGAAAGGGCCGCGAAACTTTCTCTCTCCACATCATCATTACGCTTTTAAAATAGTTTTTGTTTTCTTTATCGCATTTTGTTTGTCACGGCCTTTTTCCTAAACACGTAAGTACGTATACGAATTTTTTCGACAGCTTTTTTTTGTTTTTTGTTTTGGATAACTTTCATCTCTATCCCTTTCATTCGTATCCCTCTTTTTTTCGCGCTGTTACCACTTTCCTTCCCCTCTCTTTCACTCCTATTTGTTCTATCCTATTTTTTTGTCAGAAATAAATGTGGAAACTGTGTATGCATTTAAAATAATAATATTAATGATAATGATTATACTATTAATATTAACGATGATCGTAATTTATAATTATTAATATTTAATATATAAGTACATAAGATCGGTGGTTTTTCTTAATATTGCAGGATTACATGGTCCAATCGCCTTCCGGCAACCACGTTCCGGCAGTGTCTTTTTTTTTTATTTTCTTTTTTTAAGAATTTTGTACATTCACCTTATACATATACATATATATGTAGTTAATTGCGTGATGCGCTTTGCTTTCCATTTGTGGTAAACGAATATCCTATTTCGATAGGAGTTCCATGGAATTTTGTTTTAATTATGAATAAAATACATAATTTGTATATATACGAAAAGTTGTTGTGTATCACGATAAAAAAATTACGATAGGATGCGTCGGTTGCCAAAATCGGAAGAAGTTAAGAGAAAAAGGCGTGGATTCCGGAAAGCGACTATATCGAAACATTTCTTTCCCAGTGGAACCAAAAAAGAAAAAAAAATGTGATCTGGCTACGATCAAGCGAGCACTAGTCTTCAATTTTTCGAAAGTCGTAATCCCCGACTATTCAAATTTCGCAATATCGGTTCTTTTTTTCCACACGTAATATTATAAAAAACTAATCTCGCTTACGTAATGCTTTGTACTTGTTAAATATCAAAAAAACGGGCAAAAGATCTTTCTTCGTCTCGAAAGAGAAGATCCTCGTTCCTTCGATTTTTTGTATTATTAAGAATTCTTCCAAAGTTCGATGCGAGGATAAGTTCGGGCGCTGTACGTTAAAAATGCGAGAAAAAACATGAGTAGAGCGTCCGGTCTTTTTGGTACTTTCGACATAACTTCGAAACGAAAAGAAGGAATAGGAAAAGTCAGCAGACTAATGGAAACAGATCTGTGCTTTATGCATTTCGCGATTCCGTGGCTTTCCCAAGGAGGATATTTTCTCCTTTTTTTTTTGTACCTGGAATGATGTGGTTTCTTACTTTTGGTATAAATATGAAAGAAAAATAATCCTGCCGACGAGTTAGGCAAAATTGAACGACAAGTTATTGAACCTCTAGTCATGGTAATGGCATGCGCGCGAAAAATGAAAGAAGACCAGCAGGTGAAATTGTAAGCAGAAGTATTTTTTTTTTAATGTCTTGCGTGAATACGCATTGCCGATTTTAGCTGTTTAATTTATTTTTCTTTTTCGAAAATGTGGCACACACGGTAGATTAATTGCGACGCAGGAGAAAAACTAAACCGACATAAAAAAAAAACAGCTCTGATGAAATCAGCCTTTTCTTTTTCTCTCTTTTTTTTCGAGCTTTTAAGGATACAAAGAGAATAAAAATATATTTGGAAAAAGAATCAAACGTGGCGTTTCCGTTATTTTTTTTTACCGCTTCTTCGCTTTCTGTTTCCTCCCTCCGCAAGTGGCACACATTCGCGTGTCTTTTATGGTTTTATTATCCTGATATTCTTTGTGTTTCGGTCTTGAATATGCGTATCTTAATTTTTCTTTCGTTAACGTATTCGTTAATAGTGAAGCAGCGCCCTATTTAGGGGTCTTCAAGATCATGGCGTTGGGTCCTATTTCAATTATTAGAATAATCGTCACTAGCGTATACGCGTAAATATAGTTAAAAACAAAAGGAGGAAAGGAGGAAAGAAAGGGAAGAAACGTGAAGAATGTGCCGACGACACTTTCGTGACTTGTTTTACGATGGACGACGAGAAGTCGTCGGGAATACTGCCTCTTTCAAGTTATGCACAAAAAAAAAAGAAATTATGATATATAATACGTGTATTATACATAAAACACACACTAAATAACGTGCAAGAGCCACTGTTAAAGTTTAACAAAAAAAAAAAAAAAGAAACACGCAAGAGAACGTTGCTGTGTAAAACAACTAAGACGTGGAGTGAAAAGTGCGTCGAGTGAAGATCGAGTGAACATTATTCGAAGGGGAAACGTACATTCACTCAGCAACTGAAAATCGGGAGCGAGACACGTCTTTACTGTTAAATGGTAGATAGTTACAAAGATTTCATCACTTTTTTATATATAAAAAATATATATATATACGTATATATAAATAATGATAATTAATCACTATTGACGGTTAGCCTAGGTCATTCGCCTATAGTCACATTCACCGCAGAGGACATTTCCACGAGGGACACGTGAATATTCGATTTTCTTCGTTGATAAATATAAATCGTTCTTATTTCATACGATATATAGTTAGCCCGGACCGCACGCATGTTCAAAATCGGGATGCAAAACCCTTGGAGATGTCATTAAGTCGTTTTTAAGATGTCTACGTCTTGATTTTTGAACGGCACCCAAAAATCGGGATGCCTTAAAGACGTAATGACATCTTTTAAGACGTCTTACGTACAGATTTTCGGACATGCTTGCTGCCTGGGTACGTTATGTATCTCGTGGATGTCCCTGTCGCAGAATTCATCATCACTCGCATGATAGGAAGAATCGTTTCGGAAGATCTGTTGAGGGAATACGTGGAAAGACGAATTTCGTCGAGTTACATAGCGATATCATTGTATCTGAATCAGGGATGAATTTCAAAATTTTTCTTTATCCTATATCGAGCCATTTCCATCTAAATGTTTTAAAAATACGAAGAAAGGTATATATACACATACACGCAATTAACATTATTTCTGTTGTGTAATGAGCTGTGTTACCTTTCGACAAAAGGGCTCGTATTTAGAACGCGCTTGTAACAGTGTGTTAGGGCGCTAACAAGTCTTGAGTTTCTATATATAGTATATGTAACGTAAACTATATGCCAAACGCGCGGCGCCACAACAGCGTATATTACAAGTGCGTTCCGAATACGGGCCTACGTCTTTATTTTCGAACTTTCATCGTAACGTAACGTCCAATAATATTCTGCAGTAGAAAAGCTTGTGCGAAAAAATAGTCCAGAAATAATTCTTTCGAGCACAAACGTTATCTGCCCGCTTGATGATTAATGATTGGATAGATCGTTCTGATAGAAAATAAAATACAGGTATACTTTTTACACATACACACATACGCGCGCCATAATTGCAGTTTTATGCTGTAATAAGCTACGTTGGCTTTCGATATCGCGTCTATTTACTTAAACTTTCGCCGGAAAATTTATTAGTGTAATATGACATCCGACACACATTTCGCAATAATGAAGCTCACGCGAGAAACCAACCTAGAGATGATTCTTTCGAGCGTACAGTCATCTACCCGCGTTCATTGATCATCAAGGTAGATCTATCTGCGTAGAAAACTGAGCGGTATAGTCCATCTATTCGGTAAACGTGATTAAAAGGATAACAGAATTCGCATACAACTAGGAATCATTATAGGAATCATCTCGGAGCGTGATTGTATCTATTTATCCCGTCGCGACTTCTGAAACGACGCGAAATGAAAATCGCGCCGGACCGGTCGGGACGTTCGATTAATTAATTATTTCATTTTGCAAAACTGCGTGATTTGCATGTGCGTGAACGAGTACGTGAGAATCGCTCGGTCCTCTGTCTTGCGCGTTTTTCTCTGTGCAATTTAAGATCACTGGTAGAAGGGCGCGTTTCAGATCTACGATATAAGTGGATAATCCACGATTAAATTACTTTCGTCGAGATCGTCGCAAGTAAGTAAATAATTGATTAAAGATTCAGTTATATATATTTGTAATTTATTACAAAGATTGCATTCGAGCGCCCGATTAATATACATATATGCCCAGAGAAACACCATCGCAAGCACATCGTCTCGATGAACGACGAGCACCACGAGGGCCCACGTTTGCATAGTGTTCGATAATATCTTTCAATTTCAATGTCGTATATTCCTAAGTCGTTATAGTTACCGGCGAGTTTTTTTAAACGCAGACACATACGTAAATATACTTAAGAGGGTGTGCAGACGCAAGTGCGAATCCTTCGATGCGAATTACGAATTTGAGACACGAGCTTTTGTTACCTCATGTATTATAATACGGTAGCGTGTGAACTCGATCCCTTCTCACGGCGTTTCTCATTAACATTAACGCGCGATTCTAATAACGATCCCGAAATTCTAATTGAGAGAACGGCATTTTTATGAACTTCATCACATACACACACTGAGACATGTTATGGTTTTTGTAAAGTTTTCTTTAGACACACGCCTTAAATCGTCTAACGATTTTTACGTGATTTTAATTGTTAAATCTAGCGTTATGAAAGTCTGGTGCATTCGATCTTGCAATCATGAAGGAGAAAAGCGGGGGAATTGGTGGAACTTGTATTTTTGTGCATTTTTAACTTTTAACTTTTTCACGCTTCTTAAACTCGTAACTCGACACGTAACGTCCTATTTAAGATAAAAAATATAATCCCATTTAAGATAAAAAAAAGACGATATATTTTAACAAGACAGATAATTGTCATTCGTTAATGATATTTGGAACATATCGTGGGATTAAAAAGTTCGGTTCGTGAAAATATTTTTTCTAATATAAAATTACTATTATTGCTTTTACTTACCACACCGCTTCTTTCCATCCCCAGTTTTTCGCGACGTTACAATCATACAATCTTACTTATAAAATAATTATCAAAGTACAAAGTTTGCCAGAATTTATCCGCGGAAACGCTTATGAATCGCGCGCTCTTTTTACGAAAAATAAAAATGCATGGCTTTTAATTAAGTTACGACGAAGCTTCGTCCGTACCGGGAACAAGTATTGAAAAGAAGTAAGGAAGGAAGGAAAGAGAGAGAGGATTTATTTTTATTGCATCAGAGCAAAAGACTGACGCGTTTTTTCAGTGTCAAAGTAATTAAACGCAATCTCTTATAATAAAAAAAACCAAGTTGCAAAATGAAAAAAATATGGAGATGTGCGACAGGGTGTGACAAAAAGTTTCGTTGCTTTTACTTCGTGATTGCAAATTAGGGTAACCGGCATTAAGTCTGCTACTGTATCGAGGACAATTGCTTCTTTTATATTCTCGCATGAGAAAACAAGGCGGATAATAAGAAGCATCTTTTCTCACAAGGTCACCGTTCGATTTTGATATCGACCGAAACTGTACTGTATTTGACTTGACGATAAACCCTACAACAAGGGACAAAAAGAAAGAACACATAAAAAAAAATAACGGTAAACTTCCCAATTTTTTGGAAAGAGAAAACTTTAGCATGTAAGATACTCTCTGTAACGTAAACCATAAGTCGTAAGGTGTAAGGACTGTAACGCATCAAATAATCATTAACCGCGACGGTTAACAACCATAAAACATGATCGCGATAACGATATGAGTATAGTTCCGAGGAGATAAACCCAAAGAGAGACGTGCCGGGTGTCGACGAAGCGCCGATCGACGGGATGGCGACGAGAGAGAAAAAAGTTACACGCGTTCGCACAAAAGATAAAATCCTAAATCTCGAATCGTCGCTCAATTCTCCCGTACTCGAATCATCGATCCGCTCTCGGTCGACACTCCGATACGTTTCGAAGAATAACTTACAATTATAGGGAGCAAACGAGAGTGCGGGCGAGGGAGGAAAGAAGCGCACGAGAAACACAAGTAACTATGTAAGAGGTGAGAGTGCGAGGAGAAGAGAACAAAGATACAAAAAAAAAATGAAGAAAAAAAAAACGGTAACGAGATACCAAATTTGATTTTTGCGTGCCTGTGCGGAGGAGCGAGGTGATATATACGTGCATATTTATAAATCTATTACTATAAACGATCCTAGCGGGTATGTAATCCTTACGTTTGTTTGGGAAGGACGAGGGGAGGTATACATTCGTATAGATCCTCCGCATAAGTAAAACGAAAATGGAGTGTGCGATGAGAACGGGAAGTGAATAGAGAAAGAGAGAAAGAGACGAGAAGTCAGTCGGACGACGAAAGGGGGACAGTTTCGTTACACGCGCGGTATCACTCTATATAAATATATTATAATATCAAGAGCTTCTTGCCAAGTGAAACAAAGTGATAGCTTCTGCGGGAATAAACGAATCCGAGAGAGATCCATCCGGGGATCCGTTTTTGGAGGCCGTAGGCTTAACGAGGAGAGGCGACGGTGAAAGATATAATATATTTAAACGTGACAGTGATTAAATACCATTTCTTTCGCGTGCGAACCGGTTATCATTGCACACAATTACGGATTAATTATTATTACTATTATTAATTACGGTTTCATCGACATCACCGCCATCGTCATTGATTATGATTATTATTATTATATAATTGATGTGAGTGTGGACACAAAAATAAAGTGTACGTAGTAGAAGGTCGACCCGTTTCACCACCTGTCAAGTTTCTTTCGACGAAGTTTCCAAGTTCCCCGCATTTAAATACGAGTCTTTACATGAAAGTAACACATTTATTTCAGATAGAAGAGCAAGAAAAATACTCATAAAATGAACATTCTATTCAACTTAAACTATAAACGAGAACGTTATATTATACCTGTAACACAAATTCTCCAATCGCGCGAAAACTTCGCTGCCACAGAAGTTAACTTCATTCCCTAGTACGGCTTCTCCTCCGATCAATGCATTAAGTGCGTTTAATTGCGATTGTTTACCTAAGAATAATGTAGCACAATTTCGATTTATTTTAATTCTCCTGTGCAACTTGCATCTCTATACTCTTTTTCATATTTGTCGTGACGATTTCGCGTTTCTCATTTGGCAATATACACTCTTCCTTGCATTTCGCGTTTTCTATTGTACACGATGCTGAAAACGTTTCTACTTTGATTCCCTCTTTTGAATCAATTGCGCTCTCTTGATTAATATGTTTTTCAAAATCGTCAGAAATTTCAGTCGCCACTTCGGACCTTCTGAAGACAGCCTGAAGGTAAAGTACAAATTAACATCAATCAATTGTGAAAGAAATCAATTGTCAGAAATTTTTATGAACTAAACACATAAACATAACTCTATATGTAATAATTTTTGTAGATATTTAAGATATTGATTTTCTTATATACATATTACAATATTATATCTTGAGTATGTTATATATTATACTAACGTCTTTTTGTTGAGAAGTAGTTTGCGAACTGTGTGACTGTTGTTTAATTTCTTTTTGCTCGAAAGTTCGTTTGAAATCTTTGAACGCCGTAGGACATGTCGAAATCACTTCGATCAGCGGTTTATCTGCTTTCTTTATCAAATATTCTGTTTTCTGTAGTAATTTATTGTCAGATAATATTTCTTTGGATTGTTCATTGTCCGTTATGAAATCTGGCTTAATCAGCAATTTCTTTTTGCTCTCCAATTCATGTAAATGATCGCAAAATTCTTTGTAAAGTGCATCGGCATATACCGCCGGTGACTCCGATTTAGAATTTTCGGATTGCTGTAAAAGATTGGCAAGCGATTGGATATCTAAAACAGACAAATATAATTTTTAATTATATTAAAAATTCTAAATTATATTTTAAATGTGATATATATTATAATTAAACATATACATTTATATTAAAAAATATAAATTAAATTATATATTATATTATTTTATATTTATATAGGTACTGATCATACCGGAAGGATTAGCTGATGCAGCGGATTGCGAATTGATCGTTTGTTTCGTCATCGATTCTTGTTTTTCAAAATACGTATTTGTTACATCGCTAGATTTATTGCCACATTCATTACGATACTTGTCTCGCTCTCCAAAATCACCCGCGGGTTTGTTAAGATCCATTTTCGAAACGCAACCGGACGGCAGATATTCCCCGAGACTTCTTCGATCATACTTATAGCATTGCGATTTTTCGCCCGCGTTTTCCGTGTCTTTTATTAGATTCGTTATGCATTTGTCGATCAACGGCGACACTCTCTTCGTGAATTTCTTCGTTTCCTGTATCAGATGCTGTCTGCATCTCTCGGAGATTTGGCTACGAGATTTGCGCTCCTCCGGTTTCTTTCCGGGATTTATTTCCTCGATGAGGAAAGATTTCTTGTTGCTGACCTCGATATCTTCCGCTTCGCGAGTTCTTTTACCGATCAGTCTTATATTTTCCGTTTCGCGAGTTCTTTTACCGGTCAGTCTTGAAGAGTGGCTCGTTTTGTCCAGAGATAAATGATCTATTGTTCGAACGAGCGATTCCATTTGAGAATTAAATCGTTCTGTTTCAGTTGAAAATTCTCCCTCCTTCGATATCTCTATTTTATCAGAAGATTTTTCTGACTTATTATTTTTCTCAGCCATGCAATTCGCGTCGTTACGTTCTTTATTTGAAATTATTTCCTTCCAAGAATTATCTTCCAAATGGTCGATATTTTCATTTTTAATTGAATCGATAATTTTGACAAAATTATTCTCCATATTAGTCGATCTTAAAACGTTCGATGATTCATAATTGCTTTCCGAAATTTGCGAATCTTCTTGAACGGATGTTGCCGTCTTAAAGGAATCGTCGTCGGATTCATCGATGTTTTTTTTCCCTTCCGAAGATTCGAGTGAAAGATTATTAACTTTATCTTCCAAAACTTCGATTTTCGCAGAATTATTCATCTCTATGATATTTTCGCATCTCGAAGATTGTTCATCGGAATCGATGATATCTTTCATATTGACGAGAGCACAGATACTTTCCTTCTGTGTGTCGATGGCTGACTTTTCCAATCTTTCCTCTAGAACCATTAATTCGGTTGAAGCTTTCGGTCCGCGTGTTTTCTGCACGCAGTCCCGATTTCTCAATTCGGCAAAGAGACTGTGGAACAATCCGCGCGGTTCTTCCTGCTGTATCTTTGCGGATTGCTCGTATTCGTAATCTTCCGCGTCTTGCACGGCGTACGTTTTTGCCGAATCCAGAAGAACAATCGACGGGCAAGTCTTGAGTGTCATCAAGTCGTAAACGTCCTGAAAATTGTTTGTGACATCGGACGGTCGCTTCTCGTCTTCCGATGTACGGCAATCGGATTTTTCATCTATTTCGGCATCCTTTGCTTCCACTTTGTATTCCTTCGCCTCGTCCTCTCGCTTCTTTAGGATCTCCCTGACCTTCAGTTTTCTCTCCTTGGTACTCCACCATCGCAGTTTATCTTCGTCGCTCGCGGAAGCCTTGGTCCCGGTTTCTTCGGTCCTGTTATCATCAGCAAAATCAGTCTGCAAATTCTCGTCCACCATCTTCCTCCCGCCCCAGAATCCCTCCACCTCGCCGTTCTTGAACACTATCTTGTTTTCGTCAACAAACCTATCCATACTGTCGCAGAATTCTCTCATTTCTTCACGGATGCTGCTAAGTTTAGAACCGAATGGATATTCCCTGCTTTTTTTTGGATAGCTCTTGATATTTTTACTCGATATATCGTCTCCCACGTTGATGACTGCATTTGCGAGTTTTTGTTGGTCTCCTTCTAACATCTGTTTTAGATCCGACGTGTCACACGATACCGAACAGGTAGTCGTTCTTTCGTTTTTACGATCTATAAAAAAACGATTTTAATTGACAAGTCTAATCAAGATAAGAATAATTATAGACGATATAAAATTTTTTCTATGATTACGCGCGTATAAATTTCTCGTTGAAGATTATATATCTAAAGGCGTCATGAAAAAGTTAATTTCTCCCTTATAGAAATTTAATACTGGAAAATAGTGATTAAGTATTTATTTTGAGTATTAAAACTTTTTAAAATAATTTTTATTATTAAGTTGAATTTCTGTAAAAGTTTAATATGTAATCTACTCACCGTTAGCTTTATTACAGTCATCGATCGATTCTTGTAGATCTGCCATCTTTTCTTTCTCTATTTGTGCCTCCAATATTTCTTTTTTATCGAAAATCTCGCCGATATGACCATCGAGTGGATCATCCGCACTTTTATAATTATCCAAAATTTGTTTTTCATGCCATTTTCTCTCCGTATTATCGTCGTATCTTTTAGATTCCGATACTTCTTCAATCAGCGTACGCGGCTGGATCTCCTCTCGAACCTAGCCAAATGAGGAATAGGTGAACAACTTTTTATCCCTTCTCAAATTCCCATTCGTTACGAGAAGATAAAGGATCGCATACCTCGACTTTCCAGGGCAGCAGAAGCTCCCCGTTGTTTCCATTGGAAACTTTTCTCTCTTGCTCCGCTATTGGCCTCCTTCCGTCACTTTCCTCGCCTCCTTTTTGCCGCACGCGCTCGTTTTCTTCGTCGTCCGCGAACTGCTCGTCTACCAATGATGACGACGACGACGATGACGACGACGACGACGATGGGGAGTTGTAGGAACCGAGGAAGGATCGTTCCTCGGATTTTTTCTTCCTCTCCAAGTCGAGCTTTAGCGCGTTCATCCATGGCCAGGTATCATGGGTTGCAGGCGATCGGGAGGTGTGCGGGTTTCACGTGGTGAATGATCAAATAGCCGACGGGACCGAAGGTGGTGATATTATTCAAAGCACGAATTCTGTACCAGACCTTGACGAAACTAGTTCTTACCAGTCCGCTGCTCCTCGTCGCGGTGCGCGCGTTCGATTTCGTCGCGACTTCTTCGTCCTTTTCCTCCTCTTCCTCTTCCACCGCCTCCTTCGTCTCCTCCTTCGTCTCCTCCTTCTTCTTCTTATCCGTCGCCTCCTTTTCGGACGTCCCGACCGGTTTGCACAGCTTCCTTTTGTTTATCAGGGCTTTCGAGGGCGGACGCGACGTTCGACAGGTAAACAAAGACCGAGGAGTAGAACAGGTGAAAGGGAGTCAAAGGGGGCGAGGGTGGCCATTGCGACCTGGCCGCCTCTCGAGTAATGAATCTTTTAACTTACCCATGACACTGTCGTTGATTTTCTTCTGCTCCGCCTGGATCCACCGATTCCTCTCGGCCACCTCCTCGTCGACGCCGCCGCGCATCCTGAATTCAAGAAATATCTTAAGTCTAACGAAATATATTACTTTCTCGCGCGCGGATCGTTTCTTGCCCGATAAATTTACCAGGCCTCGGCGCAGGCGCGATCGCGCGGGAACACCGGTCGAGTATCGAGATACTGGAGATTCTTGCATTTGAGGATCATCGTCTTGCGATACATCTTTATCTGCTTGAGCACCGGGTTGCCGGTCAACGTTACGACGCGCAACGACTTCATGTCTCCCAAAATCTAAACAATTCAACTTTTGCTCGCGCTTTCAACGAAATGTGAGACACCTTGACGTGATTAATTGCTGTCGTATCGTAGGAGTATATTTCAAATTGTATCAATATGTGTAAGGTATAATTTAATGCGCAGATTCGTATTTTTTAATTTAGCTCTGAAAAAATTCGGTTAAAAAAATCATCATGCTCTCTTTATTCATGATGCAATTAATGATCGCACAACGCTAAGTAAGAATTTCTTTCAGTTAATAGTTAAGATAATATCAGTTTGCAATCGAACATTATTTAATACGTAAATTTATTCCAATCGCGTTTTTGCCGTAACGTCTCACCTATCATTTCGGAAATATATTCCGGTTGTGCGTATTGCGTGCACCGCGCGTAATCATCGACTTACGTTAACGACGTCGCAGGTGTCGATCCTGTTGTGTGAGATGTCCAAGATCGAGAGCGCGTGCAGCAGACGGAGATGCTCGATGTCAGCGGTTTCTCGTAGATAGTTGTGCGACAGGTTCAGGTTGTTCAGGAACTTGAGGCTGTCTGAAAAGCAGAGGTACGTCAAGGTCAAGGTCATTCGGGATATTACCCAGCTTCGCGACTCGAGTCACCGAGATTCTCGATCCTCCGTATCGTGTTGTGCGAGAGGTTTAGGGTGTCGAGCTTCGTCAGGCACTCGAGGTTCTCGATCTTGCTGACGAGGTTGTGGTGTAGATACAGGCACTTGAGCTCGCTCTGATTTTCTAAATTAGCGATCTCGTGTATACCGTTGCTCTCCAGCCACAAACACTTCAGACCCGTGTACTTCTCGAGGTTCTCAATAAAGGAAAATCCTGAAACGCGTAATTTCGTCGTTGGTATAACAGTATAATTAATGCGATTGAGTGTCGTGCGTGCCTTTATAATGCAAGTACAGAACGTCGTTCAAATACGGAGTCTGGTAGAGCTTGTGCTCCTTGCAGTGCTTCTTGATCAGCTCTTCTGTCATCCTAAAATCATTAAATCCGTTATTAAATCAATGTTGTTCCTTACAAAAATTTAATACTGCAGGGATCAAATAATTACTTATTTTGAGTATTAAAAGCACCAATAAACCATTTCAATATTTCAATAAGTGATTATTTGATCCCTTCACTATTAAAGTTTTGTAAGGGATGATCGGTTAAATTATTCATATTTATTATTTCGAGAGCTCACCTAACACCATGCTTTTTCTCATCGAAATCATAAATTTTTCCTTTGATGTACGTCCTTTCCGGTTCCTTCAACTCCTCCATGAAAGAATCGTCGGATTCCGAATCGATTTTAATTACTGTTGTATCATTCGTCGTTTCAGATGTTTCATTTGAAATTTCCTCACTTATCTTCTCATTATTTTTAGATTCAGTTTGGATTTCTTCATTGATATCTTCGATGATATGATCTGTGTCATCGCAAGCTTGCGTCGATTCTGACTCCAAAGTCAACTGAATCTTCTCTAAATCCGTCGTAATAATTCTCTGATATTCATCCATAAGTTTCTTGTGCTCATTTATTTCGTCCGCGAGTTCTTTTTCCAACTCCTCGATTTTCAAATTCTCGGCTATTTCGGACTTCGTTAAAGGAACCTCGAAATTTTCCGGAAACTCATCGAGACTGTCAGAATCGACGGCGGTATCCTCCGGAGTTTTGAGCTCGTAGGAATCGTCAGCGGATTCGAGAAAGGAATAATTATGATCGGCAACGATTCTGTCAATTTCCTCGAATTTTTTCGACAGCGCCTCTAGCGATTCATTCTTTCGATCTTCTATCTTCCTCTTTTCCTTTGCTATCTTCTCCAAAGTCTCCCGAATCTCGGTGCGCGATCTAGGACGATCTAGACGAGTAATTTCGTCTAATTTTTGCAAATTACTTTCAACAACGTTACTTTCAGACTCCGAGATCTTTTCGATTACCGTATTTGCTGGATTTATCTTATTGTCTTCGTTCTCAATAAAATCAATTTTTTTTTTACTTACTGTTTCATTTAATCTTTTATTATTTTTTACCTCTTCCGTGGATTTTTCCGACGAATTATTTCTGTCATAATTCTCAGTTGTCTGATCGGCAGTTGCCTCCCACGTATCCCAACACGGACTGTCAGTCAGTATCTTCTCCGCTTCCTTTATAGTTCTCAGTATATCTTCTTTCGCTATGGCAGTGTCCGAAACGACGCGACGACGTGGGTAGAGTTCGTTTCCTCGAAATTTCGAAAGTGCACACTCGCTGCTCGATCGTACGGGATCTGCACTCGGAATCGCGCGGATCGGCGAACCTTGCTGAAAATCCGCGGAAACGTCGGAGCAACTCTCGATAATCTTCCTCATCACGTCATCGTGATCGTTCTCCATTTTCGCGGACAAGTCCTCTATTCGCTCCTCCGCCGAGTCGTAATGCTCATCGTCACTGGCGCACAATAGATTCTTGATTATCTTTTCCATCTTTTTTATCTCTGTCATCGTTTTCTCGATAGTGGTTTCCTCTTCGGAGCTTAACGCGTGCATCGCGGTCTCTTCCACACATTTCGGAAAATCGACGTCGTCTTTAAGATAATTCTTATTATTACTTATAAAACAATTACTAGATTCTATTGTCGAAAATGACACGTTTTCTATATCTAGTTTCTCTTCTTCTTGAAGAGAATCTTCGATATTTATACACGTAACATTCTGTGCAAGCTTCATTTCTTTATTTTTTATGTCTCTATTAATAGTTTCACAAGCAATGACACTGCTTTCTTCAAGAATATCTCGCGAATTAATACAATCGTCAATGATTTGTCGCATAAACTCGTTATTGTCCTTTATGTTTAGTCCGCTAGTCAAGGAAATCCCTGAATCGATGAATTTTTCTTCACCACATCTCGCTTGATATATTTTTTCATATGTCGAATCAGTGCTAACGGGACTGTCTTGCAATTCTGTCAAACTGTTTAAAGAATTCGCACGTTGATCGTCCGTCAGGAATTCATTTCGAATCGTTTTCTCATTGTCGTCGCTATCTTCTGCCTGGATTGTCTTGTCGTAATCGAAATCGTCGTACATGGAAAGATCACAATCGCTTATACTAGAATTAAAATAAGACGACTTTTCGCAATTCAAATCGAACATCGGATCGTAATTTAAGAGAACTGACAGAGCGTCGTATTTATCGTTGTTTGTCGCTTCTATTTTTTCATTTCCGCATACATTTTCGCAACTCTGCACTTCAGATTGAACGTTGCTTAGAATCTCACGCTCTGCTGGGTAATCCTTTTTGTAAAAACAAATATTATTAATTTCTTTTACAAACGCATAATTCCGCGAGAATCGCTTATTTGCTACAACAACGACACAACTAAAAAATTTATCACTTTTTTAGTTGCTTCATAAAAAGATAATTTAAAAAAGAAACATACTTTTATTTTTCTACAATTAGTCACTCAAGATTTTAAAATTAATATCACAAAATTTTAACAATTTGTAATATTTAATATTTTATTATTTTATTATTTTCTATGAGAACTGTTTTTTGAGTTGTGCAGTTGTTAAAGCAAATGAGCGATAAAGAAAAGATATAGAAATGTTTTAATCTTTGAATTCATATTTATAACATACGATAACATTTGTTAGTCAATGTTACAAGTATTATAAAGCATAAGAAAAAAAATATAGAGTGTTACGTTAAGCATTATGTAACAAGAAATTTCTTTGCAGTAAAATTTACCTTGAGTTCGGATACCGAAGATGCGCTCGTACGAGTAACAGGCGATACAAAAGTTTGACTGTTATCCTCCGCTAGGGAATTGAACGAGAGATTACGTGGGCTGTCCAATGCTTTATCATCGTGTTCGATAAACGCGCTCATGATTAAGAGCGGTTTTGCAATTGGATCTTTCTCAGAAAATTTCTATGAAAACACGGATCGGCAATTCCAGCTAAAACTGACGTAACCGATCACTGAAAACAAGAGTACAGCGCCATGGTCACCGTCAGTTATGAATTGTTTAGTCGATAGGGTCGGGTCGGCCGTCACGCCGCGCTCTTCAAGGCGTACGTCACATTGCGATTATCATGATTTTCCAATTTATGAGACGTTCTTGAATCGATTTTTAGATTTTATGTTTGATTTCGCCTTCAGTCTCATGCCAGTGGAACTTGCGAAGATCGAATCTTCGCAACTTTTCCGTTCCAATCTCCGCGCGCGTTGGTAATTCGCGCGTGCAATCTATCATCAGGCCGGTTATCCTCGGCGCTTTTCTTGCGCGGTGGAAAATCGCATCGTATCTTAAATGCAGCTTCGAGAAAACACGAAGCAGATTGGCATAGATGATCGATCTCGCGCGCGCGCGCGCGCGGTGCACGGCGGTACGCGAGCACAATGTTAGCGGTTACGGGGTTGTCTCGTTCGCGATATCTATTCGTCAGCGATCTTTTCTCTCGCTTTGTTTTCGTTGCGTCTGGACGCGCCACACATATGAGTGGCCGCTTGTTTTTCCTCTCGGTTTCAGATTCCGCGCGCTCGCCCCTCGACGACGACTCTCCATCGTCGTCGTCGTCGTCGTCGTCACCGTCGTCGACGTCGACTTGTTCGTCGCGCGGCCGACGATGACATGTTCGCAAATGATGCTATCAACATCATCCAGCGGAAAAGACGCGCGGTGGCGATTCGCAAATGCCAGTGCACTCTCTCGGGACAGCTCTCTGAGGATCACGATAGCGGGAAATCGCGACGCGCCACACGGCACACATATGGGTGCGAGTCCTTCCTTACCCCCCCCCCTCCACCCCCCCCCTATGCGATAGATTCACCTTTTTTTTATTTTTCCCCTTCTCGAGGCACGACGCACGATCGTCTACTTTGCCAGACGCGTCTTTCTACGCAGTAGCTGCGATTCTCGATCTGTGCGTATTTCTATTGTCGTGATAATAGAGAATTTGGTTCGCACGATATTCCGCATATTCCACTTTCTCGTGCGATCGTACTTTGCCAGAAAACGTTCGCAGATGATCGCCCGATCTCTCGATGAATTTCTAATTTTAATGACGGTACTGTGACAAAAAGTACAATTTTAATGTATCAGAAAGGGGAAAAGGAAAGCATGAGAATAAAATCGACTGTGTAGCTGGTCGATATACTTAACCGGACAACTGATGTTGATGCAACCGGTTCGATTGCATCGCGATTGCAGCGTAGCAGCCGCGATTAATTAATTCTTTTAGGACTGGATTGTAGCAATATTATACTTGACTAATCATTTTTAGATCATTATCTTATTTATAGCATGCACAACAGATTTTGAAAGAAATATATGGTCTTTAAAATCTAGGTCGCGCGCGCATAATCGCTGTCATTGCTTTGGTCCCAGTTAACGCTTTCTCGATGTTTCGATCTCGAGCGATCCCGCAATCACGATCGCTACAATAACGCCTGGCGTCTCTTACGTCACGGTGGCACGCACTTTTTCGCGGGTCGACTCAGGTGGTGAACGGTCCGGTTTCACTTGCAAGGCTTTTGCACATTATTGCGTCAATATATAGACACGTATATATTTCAAAACCGTTAGATAGTAACGATGAAAAATTCCAGTCCTTGCTCCAATTATAAAGGTTTAAGGCCATATAATAATAGCTACTCGTAGCGAATTCCAAAGCGATATTCCTGCCTAAAGAAAGCTTCTAACCGCAGAGTCAGCCGTCAGGCCGTTGATAACATATCACGTATAGCAGTATAATTCCTCTCGATGAAACAGAAATGCGAGAAGCTTACACGGAAGTTACACGTGTACTTGACATCGCGTAATACGATCCGGTCGGTTTCAACGATTGCCACGCCAGTGACGTTTTGCATACCAATAGTTTCCATCGGTTAATATTATTTAATCGAACAAAAAGTCACTGGAATATGCGCAGAAATTCCGATATCTGCCGCGATGCTTCTTCTTTGATTACTCTTATAATTTTACTTTTATATTATATATTTTTTAGAAGAGCACGATTAATAATTTAATTTATAGTTAGATTAATAATTAAAAATTATATATCGTTAACTCTTTCTGTAGTGTTTCATCATTACGCCAAATCATCCCGTTCTTGATTTGATTCTTAAAAGCACGATGCATACATATGATCTTCGATCTGTCGTTTCTGCGGGGCTTTATCTCCGACTTTCATTGTCGGTTAAAAATACATCCCGCAATACGATCGAATTGTAACGCAAAGATCGCACGGACAGATATGAATTTTTGGCACCGGGCGAACACTTTACCTCTTTCGTGAGATTCCTCCGCGTGACCGTGACCTCGAGGATTCTCCGCGGCGCCGAGCGCGGTCGTGGGACTATGAATATATGTACGGGGTGTACGGAAATCTCTGAGCTTGCAAGAGCGAGTTTTAACTTTTACGAGAATACGATCTGATTAAATTTGATTTTGATCAGAATATAGAGAATATTGAGCTCAAGAAATTTGATGTTCTTTTATTAAAAAACTTTCTTATGACACATTCTTATAAACTTTATATATATTAGAAAAAATGATTGCAAACTAATATTTTTTTCTTCGTGAAATTAAAGATACATAAATACTTAAGAAAATATATTTTTTTTAAATCTCAGACTGAAAAAATTTTTTAAAGATCTGTTTTTATTTTTGGAAAGCTTTTTGGTTTAAAAATTAAATGGAAATGTAATGACGTGACACTCACGACACCCCTTATATCGAGACGAGTGTTCCTCGCGACGCACTCTGGGATCGAGATTCGAATGTATTATGTAATTGATGGCGATCCTGGACGCGGGAGCTTCTCCGCGTCGGCTTTTTGAAAAGCAAAGTAGCCGTGGGTGGCCACCTCCTTCTTGCGAATGTAAGATCACACGTCAAACGTGGAGGAGGCGGAATCGTTGAATATACTTTGAATCGATAATCGGCCGTGAGTGTCTGGACATTACGCATGAAATTCGTCGATTTAAAGACCGCCGAAGACTGCGGGAAGACTGCGATCGAAGAATTACAAAGTCTAATCACTCATATCAGCTGATTACCGCCTGACTGTCAACGTAATCGATACGTGATGTTTTTGAGAGTAATTCGTATTTAAATGCACTTTCAATTATTGTTGATAACGAGGATTTGCTATGCTAAATTATTTTCGTACTATTTGCATATTAACAATCATCACGAAAGCGCGATTTTCTTATCCATTTTCCATAAAATATTTATTATAAGTTTCTTTAGTTGTGTAACTTATATATGTACGAAAAAAAATTATTATAAATATTATAACAAACTGTAGTCAAAGTAATCGAACATAGAAAAGTCGCGTAATCAAACATTGAAAAGTCGCGTAATGTGATGTTCCGATAATATTAAAGCGTGAATCCATGGAAACGGGTTATTAGAAAAATGAATATTGATAAAGGAAATCGTCAGATTGATTGTGAGTCGCGAGCCGTTAAGACGTGTAC